AAGAAGAGTAAACAAATCCTATAATCAGAATTGCTAAGGTAGTGTTAACTTTAAGTAGCCCATGGCAATTAAACCATTAAACTCCCTTGGTCTCATGTCAACATCATAGGAGTGTTGGCTCCCCAGGTGGCTCCTTGTAAGATGTAAGATTTATATATAACATATTTATATGTGTTTGCTTACACAGACACATACATATTTATATCTGTACATATGTTTATACAGAGATACACAAAATAAGTTACTTTGTCCTCATTTTCACTTCAAAAAAAACCCATGTTCTACAGAAAATTCAACACTGTCAGATTGTGATTTGGAAGAAAAATATTTTGAAGAAAAGGATTTTCTGACTTCTCAAACAGCTTTGAAAATCTATCACACTAAGATCTCATATTCACACCAAACACCTGAAATTGAAACTAGTAGTCATGCATGTCTACATATGCAGTCATATTACTAGATGTAATAATAATGCTTGCAATTGTTAATTTGTGTTCATAATTCAGTAGGTAGCATATGTAGATACATTTAGGGCAAAAGGCAAGACAAAGTTTCAGCACTATACATATATGCACATGTGCTCTGGTATACAACTACAACAACAGAACAATTATACCTCACCATCAAGAAAGTAAAAAAAATGATGTAAGATTTACATGGCAAATAGTGTAGAGCTACTCAGTGAAATACTAAGGTATGGCTTAGTACAGGCTTGGAAGTATTCAAAAAATATGTAGACATGGCACTTCAGGACATGGTTAGTGGGCATGGTTGTGTTGGGTTGATGGTTGGACTTGATCATCTTAAAGGCCTTTTCCAACCTTAATGATTCTGTGATCTACCTACATAAAACCAAAATGATACACTACAAAAGCCTTTTCTGTTTTGAGCTCTGAACCGCTAAGCTTTGCTGGGTGTAACAGATCTGATGAGGTTTTGATGTGAAGCACCTAAATTTCATACATAAAACCCAGGAATTCAGCAGAAGCCTTGACATTCAAAGTGCCTTAGAAAAGTTTACCTAATCATATCTTTTAAGAACCATTTACTTTGCATAGGTAAATAGGGAGGTGGTTCAGAATAGAGCCATCTGAGGTCCAGGACAAGTTTGGGTTTTGTTTTTTTTGTTTGTTTGTTCATTCTAATGTTCCAAAGTTCGCTAGCAGTGCACATGCAAACTTGCTCAGCTCAGACATCATTTTCTGAAGAATTAAAAGATGAGATTTAGCAGCTAAAGTCTTGAATAAAGAGTTTCATATCAGCTGATAATTCCTTCAAATTCTTAAAATTCCACAATTACATTTTAACTCAGACAAGTTAGATAAACAGTATTATTCAATTAACTAGTTAGTTAATTATGACACTTTCCAACAAGATAGACTGTAATTTCAGAATGTGGCAGCAGGAGTTAGAGTAGCTCTTCCACAGCAATGGTGATTTCTCTTAGGTCTAACATGAAAAAAACAGATGTCCTAAGCTGAACAGTTAAAATGTTACGATTAAGGAAGCTAAAGGCATTAACACAAAAGAAGTAACACACTTCTGTGCACAAAGGTTTAGCTTTACAAAATCTTAAAGGGTTTTCATGGCTTCTCTCTCCCCTCACCAGTTAAAATCGCTTTCTTCCAGTAACTAATTCATGTTCCTCCACATACCTCATCATCTGAGCTGATATAGCTTCCAGAAAGATTTTTTTCCAAGTATATTTTTGACGTGGTTTGCTGCAGAAAGTCTGAGATCCTCTGTACAAGAAAGTCTCTGTCTTTCAAGTTAGCAAAGAGGAACGTCATTCTGTTTTTCGTGCTGATTGATAATGGGCTGGGCAACACACTGGAGCTGTCTGCCTTTTCCACTATTGTTACCTAGAGAGAAATAGTGGCTACAGCTTAAAATCTTCAATTAATCCAGTTGTTTGGTCTAAGAAACCACCTTAATACAACAAACCCATGCCCCTTCCCCCCTTATATCAGACCACTATGGACATCCCTCTGCAGGAAAATGGGATTTGGATACAAGGACTTACAAGTCTGAAAGATGAAGACTGTCATCCCTGAAACAACTGACTTCAGTATATTCTCCAGCAAAACTCCTTTGCACTGCTTAGTTTATTTTCCTCAGACTTTATTTTAAGACAGTAAAACGAAATTTCTTCTGTGGGATGAAGATTGGCTTTTTTGTAGGACCTCCGAATCCCTCTCCTGCTCCCCAACACCAGCACAGGCTGAATCAGCAGAAACTTTTGCTTACTTTTTATTGCCAATATATGTGAATAAGCCTTTTTTTTTGATAACGCTCCTGTTCTACTATATTGTAGTTGCATACTGCGATAACGACTGTTACTACAACTGTATTTTCACAGTACACAGAAACCTGCAACAAAGGGAAACTAACACCATGTCTTTCCTTACAAAGGAAAACATCTAACCCTGTGATGTGGAGGTTTCTGTTTGGCCTTCAGTTGCCAGTGAAATGGTCACCAATCCAACTGAACTCCAACCTGTAAACAGTACTCACACCACAATCTACTGAGTAGAGGGCACTTGTGCCCTGAGCAAAAAGGTAAAGCACGTTAACACAAAAAGTCTCAGGCATAAGTCATACACTCTGGATGAATTATATAACAGCTGCATACTCTAAACATCATCTAAACATTACCAATTATTAGACTTAAAAACAAATAAACCAATCAAGCTTGTGCAGTTCATGCATTAAACAAAACAGAAATCACAATTGTAAGTACTGTTAATCACCGCTTTTATGACTTTAAAGAATTTTCTAGGTAATGAAAACTGTCTTACTACCTTCAGAATAGACGAGGGCACATTTCAGTTTACCAGGACCTTTACTTTTACTCTTTTTTTTTTTTTTTAAACCCTTTTTAAAATAGAGATCAACGGTCAGGAATTAATGCTATAATATTAATACTTCTCTGGCTAAAAGGATAGGATAACTGGTTTTCACACAACATTTTCTTTGAAGATGTATTTAAAGACTGCAATGCACAGCTCAGGTGCTAAATCTCTTCTCTATCCTTCCAACTTCCTTTTATTTTGCTGTTAACTTCAAATCTATTAGTTCTTCATTAACTTAAAGGAGCTTCACTAATAACATATTGAAATTAGCTAAAAAGTGTTCCTACGTCATTTTTCTGTTCCGCGTAAAAACTGTTTGAGCGTAATCGGCACAAAAGACAGACAACTTCCACAGGCACAGACATTATAGCAAGCATGCTCTGCTATAGTGAGAGCTGACATCCACTTATTTCCTGTTCAAGCAGAGACATGCACATATCTGAACTGCTGATCTTGGAGACTGCACCTACCGGGTGCCACTGATTTCAGCTACTGAAAATCACCTTTTCCGATCATAATTTCTGAACCAATGCTTTGTTATTGCCTCACCTGTCAAAACAGCTCCAGAATATCACAGAATACTGGAATTAGGTTAGGGTCTGACCCAAAGTTTTAATTAAATAGAAAGCTTCCCTGTAATTATTAAGGGTACTGATCTGTTGTTCTGAGGGCTGGCACTACACAGTGTGTTACTGTTCTCCTTGCTGGTACTGAGACTTTACCTGTTGACACAAAAGCACTTACTCCTTCAGCTATTTCTTTCTCTTAAAGCTTTAGAGCTGCTTTGAATCCCACGCTGCTGCAGCAGTGGTTATCAAAAGCAGTTGCTGAATGTGCATCCAGGAAAAGGGGTCCTGTTAAATGCAGACTTTGTTCTCCTCTTCCACCACATTACCCGGAGGATCATTGCTCCCTTGCAGCTCCAGAAAAACAGTGCAACCATAATCAAATGTCTCTCCTCAAATAACCAAAGTCATTGCAACACATTGTGGAGAAGTTATACTTCAAGGTTTCCAAACAAATACCATTTGGATTTACTCCTAATGATTTGTCGGGGAAAAACAGTGCCTTGAAATATTCCATGGTTCTTCAGACAAGCCAAATTGTCCTTGATTACATCAGCTTTCCTACTGTTTCCAAGATTTACTTTACACAGTTTTCCATCAATCCACAAATCAAGACAATCATAAAAAACCTCCCTGACAATTTTTTTCATTTCATCAAGCTTAAATTCTTTTTACTGAACATCTGCTTTAAGCAACTAGCTTTAAAAAGGGAAGCACACCAATTTGTAAAATGCTGACAAATATGTTCCATATACAGGAATAAATGATTGCAAGTCTGTGTGAAGAGACAATTCAAATATTTAGGATTATGAATCTTTTTACATCTGACAAAAGCAAATCTTATCTGACAGATTCTTTAACAGAAGTTCCAACTCATCAATCTAGGAAGTTTTATTGTCCATCCCTCCCTATGAGACACACACAAAAAAAAAAAGTACCATGGGGCTGTAAATCAGAACATAAATTATGGGAGAGGAAGGACTCATGAGGGTTGTAAAAACTGACAGGGAAAACTCCCTGTGAATTTTAGTAGTAGGAACTAAGATACAGAGTCATAAAATATTACTTAGAACACATAATGAGATTAAAGGGATGAAATAATAAAAAAACATCAAAGCTAGAATGCACTCAATAGGATATTGCTTTATTATTTGCCTTATCAATTTACACGTATGAATATTTACCTCTCGAAGAGGGATAATAAGGCTGCACAAATTCTCTTCTTTACTAGTAAAGCAAATGTAGTTTGTAGAAACAAACATCTGACCCAAAATATGCATTTTGTTGAATGGAGTCCATAGAGTACAGTCTGTGTGTCCATCTAATTTCTCATCCTTGGGAAGTCGGAACAATGCACGGTATCTCTCACTCTTTGCTCTGGCATCAAGATCCCTGAAAAAAAACCAAACAAAAAACACAGAAAGCTGTTGCTTGTTTTAAGAAATATGTAATACATTTTAAGATATATTTTATACAAATCATTGCAAGTTACCTGCAACATACAACTCAGTTAAGCACTGAGTGTAAAGCAAAACAATGGGAATAGTTTGCATACAGGAGATTCATAGTCTTTGCTGCTGGAAGATTCTAAAACTACATTAAAAAAAAAAAAGAAATTTCTGCCATGAATGACCTAGATACATTGATCCTGACTTCTCAGAGGGGACAGTCTGGGTGATCTTCTGGCATTCAGCCCTACTTGCTGAGAGTATATACAACGAATACATTTAGTATTAAATAACACCATGTAATATTATATCAAAAAATGCATCTTGGCATCTTATTTATTAACATGATGGAATCCTTAGGGCTAGAGTTTGTTAATAATTTCAAGACTTAGTCTTGAGAATTCATTTAGTGCAAAACACTGAATAGTTAGAAAGACATACCTAAGTGATATAACGCATGTCAGATGTCACTAAGTAATAAGAAATATAAACAAGCACTGGTTAAAATTCTGTATGGATCACTAATATGATCAACATATAAAATAATGAAAAAATTAACAAGAAACTATTATATTTCATTATGATATCTATAAAAGAAGCAGAAATATTTTCCAAACTTTTTTTCACCTCTTAGAATTTTATGTCAGTTTTGTACCTCTGCTACTTAAAATAAGTTCTAGATAGAATTCATCATCTAGAGTAATTTTTCAATCCCAATTATAGGATGAAGAATGAATGTTAGGCACGTTTCTTAGTAACATTTAAATCACTTTATTACCCCAGTAACATAAAAGGGCCTTACAACAGATACCCAACACAGACAGTGTCAAGAGATACACTGAAGAGCTTCCGAACAAATAAGAAATTGGCTCAAGTATATTTCTTTCCTTTTTGCAACATGTTCATATTCACATGTTTTTCCTTTCCTATTTCAACAGGAGATCAAGTAAATAAATATATCTAAATAATTCTTCAGATTTTGACACCACTGGAATTAATCATTCATTTTGGAGTAACAGTAAATGGCAGCAACAGTAGAAAACTTTCGGACAAAATGCTGCAAGTAAAAGGACTGGGGCGAAACATTTAAATGACTACGAGCAAGCGCTACCTACCGTTTCAGTGCAGATACTTTTTTTTGGGATTTCTTTTTCAGTTTGGGTAATGACCTGTCTTGTTCAAATCCTTCATTGTCCAAAAGCTGTCGCATAGCTATATTGGCAAGCTGTTCCATTAGTTTAAATGTCTCACTGATATTCAGGAATACAGAGAAGAAATGTTCACTTGACCTTGTGCTCACTTTGATCATATCAGGGAAGAGGAGTGTAGCATTCTTCTCAAGTTGAGTGATATCAACCCAGCGGATAACTAACTTTGCTGGACAGAACCAAATAAAAAAAAAAAATCAGTAAAAAAATCAGCATATTCAAAAGCATTTATCTTCCACTTCCTAAAACGTATTCAGCTGAAATTTTCTTGCATCTTGAAAAGTTGGGAGGACAGCATAAATAGACCCAGTTTGTAAAAACAAACTATGATCACCTGACAAACCATAGATAAAAGAGTTTAAACATCATTTTCTTCTGTACAGAACACCACACATAAGCATTACAAAGCTAGGTGGGCTAACATAATTCACCATTGCCACAGCACCTGCTCAGACTCTGATATCCTCTCTTCCTACAGAAGCATGGAAATGTAGTCTGAACACATCAGACAGGCTTGCATTGTTTTTATACATTAAAGCATTTCAAATATTACAGTAATGACAGATCCTTGGCTTTTTTTCAAACACCACTACAGGTTAGGATACTGTCCTTAAAAACAGGGACTAAATCTACACTTATTTTTGTCAAAAATAGTTAAAAAATAATCCTGTTAATCACTAGGGTATGTTTACACAGCTCAACAGAAAGACCTGGGCATGATCCATTGCCCATAACCAAGTACTGCAGACTCGCCCACCTCCACACTGCTTAGAATTAATTCCCTCTAGAGCAGATTGGTTGTACCCACACTATGTAGCTCTTGATCCTGGGTCTCCTCTGAGCCCTTTGTGATGCTCTGGTGTTGTACAAAAGTAAATGTGGCATCTGAGGTTGCAAGGTCTGCCAGAGTAGTACTGGAGGATTGTATAAGAGCAGAAGGACCCAAAACCGGTGTGATCTCATCTCTACTCCCATTTGGGCACAGTCCCGAGAGCTAGCCATGCCTCTAAACAATGCCCAGGTATTATTTTACAGAGAACTAGTTTGAGAAACACAAAACAAACAAGGGAACAAGTGCACAGTTAAGCAGCGTGACAATCAGGGAATTGCTCCCTGCTCCTCTTTTCCTCAGCAGTGACTTTGCACACCCAGTGGTTCAGCAGGTAAAAGTACGAAACGACCGAA